TTGTGTTTTCTGACTTGTTATAATGTTTTCTGAATTGTTGTTGTGCTTTCTGAATTGTTATTTTGTTTTTTAGACTTGCATTTGCGTTTGTAATTTGTTATTTTGTTTTCAGAATTGTGATTTGCTTTGCACTTCTCGGCCACCGTACAAAAGATCATTTTACAGAATCTGTATTTGTAGGATGCTTGTCTCAGAGCTGGTCAAGTAGTTCATTTGCACAGTATGCACACTGAATTTGCTCACTTCCCTTGAAGTACGTGACTTCAAATACTGACCATAGTACAAGCCAATAGCCATCGAGCACGGGTTGTGAAGGAGCATTTCATTGGTTGGGCTGCTGAACTGATACGCCCATTTGACTGAACGAAATCGAATCTGTGTTTTGAGTGTGAACTTGCTCTTAAATCAAATGAAAATTAACTGTTAACTGTTATTATACTTAGGCTATCGTTGTTGTTAGTTTACACAACGCCTTAATAAAGTGATTTCAGCATTTTAGGAAACAGATGGAAAAAATCTTGTTATTTGTCATTTGTTAAATTTTATTTTTGTTTAATGGATGACAAAACAATGGCGAAGAGAGAAATGCAGGAAAAAATGATCAAAACAACTTGAACGTTTTGAATCATATATTATTTTATTAACTTGCTTTAATAGTACAGTCTTTCTTTTCTCTGTGAACCTTTGTATTATTCAGTTTCCTGCATCTTAATACGTATGGCAAAATAAAAGTGAAGACTGGTGATTTATATCAGTGCAGTTTGCCTGTAACCCGCATTTGTTGTACTATCTACTAGATGGGGTTGGCAGTCATGTGATCCACAACACCATTCCGTCAGAGCGCGGGTTGCCTTCGCACGCCGAAAAATCCCTCATTTAGGGATTATTTTGCGCCAATGCACAGCATCCCGGTGCATTGACTTTAATGTTCTGTGGGGTGAAATCTCCCATGAGCACCTGGCTACCATTTAGACGCATTGAGAGCGAGTTGATAGAGGTGAGTTTGCTGATAGAAATGAATGCAGAATTTTTATTTTATTACTCGAATTAATTGTTTTCTTGTTGGCTCACATTGTTCTCATTTTATTTCTTTGAAATGTCACAGTAATAGTCAATGTTGTATACTGGATGGTTGTGTAATTATATCACGAGTGTAGGTGGCAACCATAGTTGATGGATTTATTCTAAACTGCATCCAGTTTAATTACCTGCCACAATTCTTATATAAGCAGATGTGTGAAACTGAGCTAGTTATGATTCCACAGCCCTATATGGATATTTTTATATTGATTGTATAGTAGTTTAACAGTGAGATTATGTTTTAAACGAAATTTTATATATATTGTTAAGCCTAAGAGAAACGCATGGGGAAAAATTTATATTTCTATTGGAAATGAGAATAAATGCAGGCATGAAGTCTTAGGTTGGGTGTCATTAAAATTCAGCCATCATCACATCCCTGTTGCCATGACGCCTGTGAGCTGCCTCATCCTTAGCTGTGCATATTTTTCTGTATCTTTTTTTTTTGCACGTATGCATGATTTTTTATACAGATGCTTCGATGCATAATTTCTGTTGCTTTATTCTGAGTATAAAGCATGAATTGCAGGGGCTTTAAACGTCCTGTGATGTAATGAGGACCAATGTCAACTCAAGTGTGGGTGCAGATTCTGCATGCAGAGCTTGTCTCATCATAGGTGGCTTGTTCTTGCTTTTCAATCTGCAAATGACATATGGCTTTTTCATATAAATAAATACATTTGCGTGTGTGTTTCTCTTTGCATAGAAATCCTGGACTACCGAAGACTGAAAGCTGGTTTTGTATAATGAGGATAAACTGCAATAGGCCTTGACTTTTGATTTAGACATAATTCACAATATTTTGTTGAACAGAAACAGAACAGACTGCATTGCTCATAGTCTCAGACTATAATGGCCTGATATTAGTCACACTTTTTCTTAAGACACATCTGCAGTTAAGCATTCTCAGGTTGTACTGCACATTTTTTGAATAAGCAGGCAAAATGGAGCACTCCTTCAAAGACGGAATTCGGACCAATAATGTCCAGGGACTATGAAGAGGTGAGTATTTTCATAAACTACATTTTGCATTCTGTTTTCTTGTGCATCGAAAGCATGTATGTTCTTTAATACAGTTGTAGTTCATTTTGGAAACAGAAATTTGACAGATAATGTCAAATAGTTAGTTTTTGCAAGTGGCATTCCATCTACATTCTATCTAAAACTCTTTTTTTTTTAAATTCTTTTATAAGTATTAGGCCTGTTTTTGCCATTTTTATGGTATTAGAAGTGATTTGTCAGACCACAGGTTTATTTAAAGATAAAGTGTTTGATTTCTGTGCCACTAGCAACACAAAATTGAATTGCAAAAATAATGAAAATATTTTTCAAACAGGCTGTTAATTTTCAAATCCAACTATTAATGGCTTACATTTCTCTTGCATGTTACATTTTTTGTAGCAGAAGGTATTTTAACATATTAAAATAATGTTGATTTACAATGGTGAAAGAAATGGTGACCAGTTACAGCATTTAAAATACACACTTCCCCTAAATTTTTAACCTAAAATTTTGATTCTGAAGAAAAAATCTCAATGCTAAATTTAATTTTTATTTACTTATACTTACTTTTATTTATTAGTTTATCATTATGTTTAAAGGGGTGGTTCACTGGTTTTTTTCTAGGCTTGATTGTGTTTATGGGGTGCAGTCTAACGTGTTAATTCTTCGTTTTTTTTTAAAAACGCATTATTTTTCACATAATTTACCTTTATTCCACACCGCTCTGTCCCTTCTCTGACAAACGCGCTGATCATTTCCTGCTTTTATGAAGCCCCACACTCAGAAATAGGTGATGGGCTCTGATTGGTTAGCTAGCCCAGTGTGTTGTGATTGGCTAAACCGCCTCTAGTGCGTGTCTAAACCAAGCGGCAACCTCCCGCTCTCTCTCGTGATGAAACTAACGTTAAAAAAGTGAAATCACAATCAACCACCCCTTTAAATTATTTTTATGTTAATCAGTTTGAATTACCAATGTGTTTGAAATGTGCTATAGACTAAAAAACGTAAAAAAAAACAAAAACAAAAGGATTGTACCCTTTTAAAAAGGTACATCTTTATACCTTATTTACCCCAAAAGGGTGCATATTAGTGCCTTAAAGGTACATATTAGTACCTAATGTGTACATATTAGTACCTAAATGGTACATATTAGTACTATTAGTACCTTTTGAAAAGGTACTGCCTTAGTGACAATGTTTGTACTTTTTTTTCTTCTGAGTGTGTATAAATAAACTTGCCCTGCCTAATTACCCATTTACTGAATGAATATGCACTATATAACTTAATATTAATTACCATTAAAAATGACAGATTTTAAATATTTCAGCATTAACTCCCTCTCATCTCCCTCTACACCTGTAGCCCGGTCAGTCTGTAGGGATGTTGGCTGCGGTGGAGCATGGTCCGGTCCTCTGCAGTGACTCCAACATCCTCTGCCTCTCATGGAAAGGGAGAGTTCCCAAAAGTGAGAAGGAGAAGCCGGTGTCCAGGAGGCGCTACTATGAGGAGGGCTGGCTGGCCACTGGGAACGCCAGGGGTGTTGTGGGTGTGACGTTCACGTCTAGTCACTGTAGAAGGGACAGAAATACCCCACAACGAATCAACTTCAATTTACGGGGTCATAACAGTGAGGTGGGAGTTTGCCTCGTCATTGTAAATCATTGTAAATTATAAGATGATTTCCAAAAACAGTATATTTTACTGTAAAATTACATGAAATGTCCTATTAGAACTATTAGTTTTTCACCATATAATAAGGGGACTTACCGTAGTATTTTTCATCTTTACCATCAAAATTCTGACCATTTTTACAGTGTATGTTTTGATAAATGTGTTTAAAAGGATTTAACCTTATATGAGGTAAAAAGTTCAGTCAAATCAGTGGACTAGAAATCTTAAGTTTCTAGTATTCTAAGTTGAGCTAAAAAATAGGATGCCATCCTATGCATAAGTAGCATGTACTCCTGCAAAATTCTGCTAGAACGTCATTCCCATGGTGCTGTTCTTGTGTAGGTTGTCCTTGTTAGATGGAATGAACCGTTTCAGAAGCTTGCAACGTGTGACATGGAGGGAGGGATATTTGTGTGGATCCAGTATGAAGGAAGATGGTCTGTAGAGCTGGTGAATGACAGAGGTGCCCAGGTATGTTAATATTTCGTGCTTATTATTAATCTGTGCTGAATGTCAATGTATTTCCATGATATGTCAATATTCCTAAACTTACTAATATGTTCTGATAAAACATGCATTATCTTAAATACATTATTAACCTTGTAAAGCCTAAAATATGAAATAATAGTCAGAAAATTAACAATGGAACATTTTATTGAACAAAATATTGAAAAAATCTAAAAACAAAAAGTTTTTTTAAGTATGATATTTGATGCATCAGGCTTTAATAGCTCATATGTGACCCTGGAGCACAAAACCAGTCTTGAGTCGCTGGGGTATATTTGTAGCAATAGCCAAAAATACATTGATTTTATTGATTGATACATTGAAATTATTGATTTTTTTTATGCCAAAAATCATTAGGATATTAAGTAAAGATCATGTTCCATGAAGATATTTTGTAAATTTCCTACCGTCAATATATTAAAACTTAATTTTTGATTAGTAATATGCATTGCTAAGAACTTCATCTGGACAACTTTAAAGGCGATTTTCTCAATATTTAGATTTTTTTGCACCCTCAGATTCCAGATTTTCAAATAGTTGTATCTCAGCCTAATAGTGTCATATCCTAACAAACCATACATCAATGGAAAGATTATTTATTCAGCTTTCAGATTATGTATAAATCTCAATTTCGAAAATTGACCCTTATGACTGGTTTTGTGGTCCAGGGTCACATATAATATGATATGACAATATATAGCTCCTACTCGACAAACTATCAATCAAATGAAAAAAGGCATGTAGTAGATTGTTTACAACAGGTTTTTCAGAAGTTTAGTTGTTGATAATTTAGAGATCTTAGAAATTTGTATCTCAAAAATTATACAGTAGGATTTATAGTAAGACAATGTAAATAAAGTATGATATAATGATTCAATTATTTCCTTTTTCCATGCCACTTTCTCATGTTATTCATCATTGGAGATTATTGTTCAAAATCGCTTTTAGTTATAAAACAGAATGTAGTTAATTAGTAAATTCTTAATATAAATTCAAAATCAGAATCAGAAAAGATCATTTGTCTTTTAATAAAACTTTTCAACTCTGGCCCTTTTCTAATACAATCAAGACCATGAAAAGCAATTATTATTCTAACATGAACTGCTCAATGAACTAGTGGTTTGTCATCTAGGTCAGTGACTTCACCTGGTCACATGATGGTACACAGGCCTTAATCGCCTACAGGGATGGTTTTGTCCTGGTGGGTTCAGTGAGCGGTCAGAGACACTGGTCGTCTGAGATCAATCTGGAGAGCCAGATCACCTGTGGAATCTGGACCCCTGATGACCAGCAGGTAACTCTTTGCTGTGGCCTCATCAAACTGAGGGAAAAGTGCATTTGTTGTCAACAGGTTGTTTGCAAATGATGAAATGACTTGGACCGCTGCCTTTGGACCGATGCCTGAGTTTCCCTAACTTGGTGTTTGCATTCATTTAATCTCCCTAGGTGCTTTTTGGAACAGCAGACGGGCAAGTCATAGTGATGGACTGCCACGGCCGTATGCTTGCCCATGTTCTTCTGCATGAGTCAGATGGCATAGTCAGCATGTCCTGGAACTGCCCAAACTTCCTGGTGGAGGACAGCACTGAGAGCGATACAGACTCTGATGACCCTACTCCAGCTCAAGGTACTTTATACTCTTAAATAAAGTCAAATTTATTTGTTTAGCACTTTTCACAATACACATTGTTTCAATGCAGCTCTACAGCAAGCGTGATGTTGATAATATCTTATCTTCATGCCTCATAGGCACATTTAGCAGATTAGCACTGGACGATAATATAATTTTATGATTATACAAGCAATCAGTTAGTTGAAATATGCTATATACTGCAGTATATTGCGCTGAGTGACTATTCTGTATGTATGCAGATGAAGTTGGACATACTTCACTTGTATATATAAAAAGCTAAATAAAAAGCCTTTTTTTAAAAAGTCATTTTTTCACCGTATTTTTTAGTTTCTTGGCGATTACAAACTTTTGAGATTACATAATAGGTTTTTAAGACCAGTGCATTGCATGCATCATCCATTAATGAAAGAAAAGTGAAGCCTTATTGTGTTTTTCCAAGTACCAGTACATAGAGTGTTTTCTAAAGAACCATAAAAATCTACTTTGGATCTTTATTCTTAAACATATACAAAATTTTTATGCAAAGACATTTTTATGGATCTTTGCAAGGCAGTGATGTGTATTTGACTTTCTGAATGTTATTAACTATAAAACCATGTTTCCTTTCAAGTGCAAAATCTCAAACCACTGCTCACGGTCAGCTTCATATCAGGAGACATTAGTTTGATGAACAACTATGATGACCTTTCACCTAACATTATACGCTCAGGACTGAAAGGTAAAACAGTGTTGTTTTTGCAATAAATAAATTACCAAGTACGTGTTTTATAACTGCCACATGATGGTTATTAATAGAATATTCCAAGTTATTTTTAACATCATGAGCATCTGTGGCATGGTGTTGATTACATGTTATAGTAACAAGGTTTTTCATGGTTTAGGAACTTCTGGTTACGCCTACAGAGTAATTCAGTAAAAATAACCCAAAATCCTGTTGATTCTCTGTGACAGAGCCACACATCGTACTGTAATCTGACTGGACAGACTTGTGTTTTTTCAGATGTGGAGGTACAATGGTGCTCTCAGGGAGACCTGCTGGCAGTGGCCGGGATGGAGAGACACGGCCTGCCCGCTGACTCAGCCTGTGCCTCTTTAATGAGGAACGCCCTTGTCAAGTTTTACAATGTCCAAGGGGAACATATATACACTTTAGAAACTCCAGCCCAAGTGAGCTGTAACCAGTCATCATTTAACAGTTTAAATGATGTTAAATCATTTAAGTTAAACCCCTTGCTGTCTCAGAACAGTACTGCAACCCATTTTATGTTATGTCTCACCACATGAGAACCACTGATATAAAAAACATCCTGCATTAAATAATAAGTAAACTATATGTAATCTAAATATCTTTTTATTTTAGAGGCCCATCACCACGATTTGCTGGGGTCACAGGGACTCACGTCTGTTTCTGGCCTGTGGACCAGCCCTGCATGTAGTGCGTGTGGAGCACCGTGTGGCCAGCCTGCAGCTTCTGTGTCAGCAGGGCATTGCCAGTGCTCTTAAAGAGGAGAGAGATGTGGGAAAACTGAACATGCCTTCACTCCTCTGTTCCTATGTTACCACTGCTTTCATTCCAACTATCAAGGTACAAAAGAAGCAAGTGAAGTTTTTGATGTATGCTAATGTATGCATTGAACTTAGTGCATAATCTTTTACATCTCACCAGCCACCAATCCCTGATCCGAATAACATCCGAGACTTTGTGAGCTATCCGACAGCAGGGAATGAACGCTTGCACTGCACTATGAAACGTTCAGAGGAGAATCCAGAAGCAGGAGGCCCCTGTTATACCCTCTATCTGGAACACCTGGGAGGTTTGGTGCCTATTCTCAAGGGTCGACGCATCAGCAAACTGCGACCGGAGTTTGTCATTATGGATCCAAAAATGGATGGTAAAGCAGGTACTGCTATATGCACTGTTGCTGATCATGTACACTTTAAACTCAAGCTTAATGAGTAAATGCATTGGTCTTTAATTTGCTGGTCTTTAAAAGCTGGTCTTTAATTTGATCTAATCTTGTCTTTCAGATGAGGTCTGCGTAAATGGGATGATCTCCTATATGACTGACAGCTGTAACTGCTCAGACTCAAGCGATATTGAGTTGAGCGATGAGTGGGTTGGGCGAAAGTCGCCCAAACTTTCTAGAGGAAACAGGTCTCCTAAGCTTCCTAGGTACTCTAAACATATAAGGTACTGTTGAATATAAAATTCACACAACATTACAGGGTGCCTAAAACTTTTGTTTTCATTTCTTTTGAGAAATGTTTGTTCCATCACAACCTTGACAAAACACAATACAGTAAATTTCTGTACAAAAAAACAACTTTTAACTTGATAGCAAGTTAAATTTCACATTTGTTTTATTCTCTAGAATTAATATGGAATCAAGAAAGTCTCCTAAACTTGCCCAAACATCTCAAGAAATGTCTAGGTCTCCTAGATTACCAAAGAAGCCTTCAGTTCGGTCTCCGAGTCTTACTCGAAGAGAATTTCCAGTTGATGGCTTTAGTGAGGTACTTAACATCTTATTTGCAAGCTAATTTTGGCAATAATTTTATATTAATCTACTTGCCTAGAATTAATATGGGAAGTGTTTGTATTTATCACCTCTGTCTGCTTGATACTGAGTGAGACATTTGTCACATTTACTGCAGCATGACTTTAGCAGACACCTCATTTTCTTTAAACTCCTGCTTTGCTGAAGAGAAATGACAGTAAACCGACTATGACCTTGAATATTTTCTATAGCTATCACTTAATTTGCTTTGCAGCATAATTACTTGGCCCAGGTCACCTCTAACATTTGGGGAACAAAGTTTAAGATTGTAGGCCTTGCCTCATTTTTGCCAGCTAACTTGGGAGCAGGTATGTTATCAGGTTTTATATTCAAAAAGGTTCGCATTATTATTTTAAATAATATTCTTAATGTTTTTAAAATATGTCTTGACATGGTGTTCCAGTTATTTATAAAACTAGTTTGCTGCACCTGCAACCTCGTCAGATGACCATTTATTTGCCTGAGGTGCGTAAAATATCCCTGGACTTCATGAGTCTGCCAGTCTTTAATCCCAATGTGTTCAGTGAAGATGAAGATGATTTACCTGGTAAGCATCAGTGGAACATTTTTGTACATTTTGTCTCTGTATAGCTTAACTAAAACAAGAAAGAAATCTCAAGATGTTCTTGCTTATTTCTAGTTATGGGACCCTCAGGAGTGTCAGCCGACAATCCTCCTTGCACAGTTAATATCCCCATTGCTCCAATTCACAGCCCTGCTCAAGCCATGTCACCTACGCAGAGTATAGGCTTAGTGCAGTCTCTCCTAGCCAACCAGAATATTCAGCTTGATGTCCTTACCAATCCCACTGCCACTGCAGCAGCAGCAGCAGCTGCAGCAGCAACAGCAGCAGCGGCTAATGCAACAGTATCTGAGCACAGTCAGGACACTGTGACAGCACAGTACACTGTGCCAACCAGATATTCCAACCATGGACAGGTGATTTTCAGTGGACTGGAAATGAGTAATATCCTGAGTGGAACTCTTCCTCCTCCTCCACATCATCTGCCACAACAACCCAACCAACAATGTCAACAACAACAGCAGCAACAAGTCCATCAACAATCTAAACATCAACTGCAATTACAACCACAGCAGCATCATCTGAAATTGCAACATCAATCACAGCAGCTGCATCAACAGTCACTGCAGCAGCAACACATGCAACATCAGCAGCAACTGCAAACGCAGCAGCATCAACAACTGCAACAGCAGCATCAACACTGTGACAGCACAGTACACTGTGCCAACCAGATATTCCAACCCTGGACAGGTGATTTTCAGAGGACTGGAAATGAGTAACATCCTAAGTGGAACTCTTCCTCCTCCTCCACATCATCTGCCACAACAACCCAACCAACAATGTCAACAACAACAGCAGCAACAAGTCCATCAACAATCTAAACATCAACTGCAATTACAACCACAGCAGCATCATCTGAAATTGCAACATCAATCACAGCAGCTGCATCAACAGTCACTGCAGCAGCAACACATGCAACATCAGCAGCAACTGCAAACGCAGCAGCATCAACAACTGCAACAGCAGCATCAACAGCAACTGCAACAGCAGCATCAACAGCAACTGCAACAGCAGCATCAACAACAACTGCAACAGCAGCATCATCAGCAACTGCAACAACAGCATCAACAACTGCAACAGCAGCATCAACAACAGTTGCAACAACATCAACAGCAACTGCATCAGCAGCAAATGCAACAGCAGCAACTGCAACAGCAGCAACAACAGATTCAGCAGCAAGTGCAGCAGCATCAACAACAAATTCATCAACAGCATCAACAACAATTCCAACAGCAACAGCACCAGTTGCAGATTCAGCATGAGCAAATTCAGCAGCAGCAGCAACAGATGCAACAACAGCAGCAACAAATTCGACAGCAAATACAAGAAATGAAACAGCAGCAGCAACAACTTCAACAGCAGCATCAACAAATACAGCTGCAGCATCAACATATGCAAAGACAGCATCAGCAAATGCAGCAGCAGCTTAAAATACAAATGTCCCTTCAACATCCACCTTCAGGGTATGCTACTCTATCCCTGCATCAGTTACAGCTAATGCCTCAAATTCCTCATCCAGACCAGCCTCCAGACAGAGGAGAACAAGTTCTCCCTCTGAAGATTCCCTCACGACCACAGTTATTTATTGAAACTGACACCATTGAGATACAGATGCGCAAAGTAAACCCTCCACCACCTTACCCAGGTACAGTGGTATCTGCTGCAGCTGCCGCACCCACTACGGCCCCTCCTGGTCTTCTTGTTAGCAATGAGAATGGCACTACACTGTCAACAGATCCATGTTTAACTAAGGATGAATTCTCTCTTAACCCAATTAGCCTCCAGTACCCAACTCCACTAGGCTATGAAAGAATCACTACTTTTGACAGCAGCGGAAATGTCGAAGAGGTGTGTCGCCCAAGGAGACGCCTTTTAAGGAACCAAAATGCCTATGGGATGCAAGGAATGGGCAGCTCCGCCACATTGAAAGTAACTTCATCTGAGAACAAGAAGGTCCAGTTGCCATACAGCTCAGCAACTCTTAGTCGCCTCTCAGTGCCTAGATATTCCATACCAAGCGGAGACCCACCACCTTATCCTGACACGTCTAGCCAAATGAACACAATCAGAAGTCCCACGCAAAGGATTGACAGCAGTTTGATTCATGCCACTTTGCGCCGTGATCGCAGGGAACCGACCCTGAAGGTTTCTCAAATGGTGGATACAGTGAGGACTCTACCAACTAAATCCAAAATGAACGGTTCCCTCACGCTCTCCTATCAGCCAAGGATACCTACTGCTTTGTATACATGCACTCAGTGTAGCAGTAATAGCTGCAGCACTAGTGTAAGTGTCACTGGTGGCGGCACCAACAGCAGTGGAATTGCTGGAGGAACTGTGGTGAGGCAAGACTTTCCACCTGGAAAAGGGGTTCAACACAGCACGATAATTGTGCACTCCAAAAGTGCCTCGCCATTAGCCTCCCAGTCCTCCTATAATCTCCTGAGTCCCATTGACAACAGTAGAGACAGAACTGTCTATGTGAACTCTGCCTTTACGGAAGACGAGACACTAAGTCAGCAGTGCCATCTTGAAAAGTCAGTGCGGCATTTAACACTTGATGTCAATTTGACAGTCAAACGGCCTCCACCTTATCAATGGGACTCTCCTGCAGCAGAACAACTCTGGATACCTCAAGAGCAAAATTTATTGCCTCGACCTCCAGGACCACCACATAAGCCACCACCATTTTTACTTAGCCAACCACAGCACTTAGACATGACCCGACTACCTTTTGTCCTTTCAACAAAGCCTCCCCCCAGTCCCAGTTCTATGACCCTTCCTTCAGCCTATCAGTTATCCCTTTCACCCTTCCCATCAGTTGTAGGGCATGGTGGACCTCAACTACAGCCTTTGCAGAGTCCTGCACAATCATGTGGCCCCAGTGACATGGTAACATCTAGCCCTTTCAGCCAACCAGACTCAACTTTAGTCCCACCCCCAGGTTATCCTGCAAATTTGACCAATCTAGGTTGTTGCACTCTGCCTCCCATGTACCCAGGGACTAGCTCATGCAGCAACCTTCAGCTGCATCCAATGAGCTTGCATCCTTGGAGCACATACAGCACTTGTCCTCCCATGCCAGACCATTCCGCCACACTGCCCAGTAAGACCCATCAGGCTCTGGAGAAGTCGGTTCTCTCTCCACCTCCACCTCCCCCACCACCTCCTCTTCCTCCTCCTCCTCCACCCGTCGAGCTCTTGAACCATCAGAGCACCTCTGAGGTGGTTGCGGAATCTGGGGAGAGCTTTCAGGATCAGTCCTCTCTCAATGAGAGTCCACAAGGAGCAGAGAGGTTCAGCAAGAAGACACGTAAGAGGCTTGACAGCAGGGCAGAAGAGGCCAATATGTCTGGAGTTTCTGAAGGGAAATCCAAAAAAGAGAATCGCACACTCTCTGACTTCAATTCCCTGATCTCCAGCCCAAGACTTGGCAGCAGGGAAAAGAAGAAACCTAAAGGGCAGAAAGAGCCATTGAACAAGGCCAAGAAACTGAGTAGAACCTCCAATGAGTTCCAGGACAGCTCCGAGAGTGAGCCTGAACTCTTCATCAGTAGTGACGAGTTGATGAACCAAAGCCAGAGCAGCAAGAAAGGATGGAAGAGCAAACGCAATCTGCGTACAGCAAACGAACTTGAGGAAATCAAGTGTCGTAAAGCTAACGAGAGAGAGGATCGTAGTCTTGGCAGCCAAGGCTTTGTCTATGTCATGGCCAACAAGCAGCCATTGTGGAATGAAGCCACCCAGGTTTACCAGCTTGACTTTGGAGGACGGGTGACACAGGAGTCAGCCAAAAACTTTCAGATTGAGCTTGATGGACGCCAGGTAAGCAATTTTATTTATTTGAGAAACCAGTTTGAAAATAATATTTGTGCAGTTCCATTTTGTGACACTAGGGGCAAAGAAATTACACCTTTAACAAATATGCACCATACATATTCAGTAGCTTTGAGCAGTGGTTCTTAATCCTGGTCCTAGGGACCCCTTGCTCTGCACATTTTGCATGTCTCCCTTATTTCACACATCTGATTCAGATCACCAGCTCATTAGGAGAGAGCTCCATGATTTGAACTGTGCGTGTCAGTTAAGGGAGACATAGAAAACCACTGGCTTTGAGTAATAAACATCTACCCTGCAACCATTACCCTGCATCTAACCCCATAATTCTCTATTACAGGTAATGCAGTTTGGCAGAATCGATGGCAATGCATATATCCTGGATTTTCAGTATCCATTCTCAGCAGTACAGGCATTTGCTGTGGCCTTGGCCAATGTAACTCAGAGACTTAAATAAAAAACCTCTCCAGCAATCTTGTCCTTGAGAACAGATGGACTGAAAAAAGAGTTTATTGTTAATTGCAGATTGTGAGAAATATTACATTCTCTGCTGCCATAACGTCTGTACAATGCCGGTTAGTAGGCGAGAGATCTGGTCACTCTCAGGCAGAGCGTACACAAGACGTAGACAGGTGGTCCGAAAATAGATGTAGTGCTTTAAAGTACCTTTTTGTTAACAAAGGTACAAGCTGATTTAAGGTTCCACCTAAAAGGTGGTTGGTATACATCTGAAAAAAGTTAATATTTGTGTATTGATGGAATATTGTTTTATTTATTAATTCACTTTCATTGATTTTTTTCCATGTATTTCATTAGCATATAATGGTGTGATTTAAATATAAAGATAATTACTAAAGGTGAATCTTAGACTGTGGGCTTTGTTTCTTTTTTTCCCCCTCTGAATACCCCACCTCCTTTTATGTTTGTACCAGAGATTTATGTGCCAAATTTGGATTTCCTATGTATAATCATTGTAAAGTGACAGATTTTGACTATTGTCTGTGGTCAGTAACCAATGAAAATCTAGAGAGGAAAAAACAAGTTATGTTTGAATGTTCTCATCCCGTGACTCACTTCCATGAAGTGAAACAGAGATAGTATATTCAAGTTATAATCATATTTTCCCAATTGTGCCATTATAATGAATGCATTTTTATGGTTTAAAAATCAATTTAACTTTAAATTTAACTTTTTTTTCACAAAATGTCTTATGTTATATTGCATCATTTGCACACTGTGTTATTGCAGTATCTCAGTAATGTCCTTTTTGAATGAATATTTGCTTTTTAATGTTAACAGTAACAGAAAAGTTTGAACAATTTTTAATTATATTGTCATGTAAGTGACATGACAGAAAAGTGCTGTAGTTAGATGTACCTGAAAATGTACTCATATCGTCCATGACACTTTAGCACGAACTATAGTATGCATTCATTTAGCCAAAAATTTCTTATATCACTATATAAATCAAACTTAACACACTGTATATTATGCAATGAACGGAATCTAAATGAAATCAAAAGTTGATAAGTAGGAGTTTTTCTCATTCCTAAGTTAAATAGTAAACCTAAATTGCTTAGTTTGATTTATGTAAAGGGACATCTTTTAATAATTATATTTAATATTTGGTTTCAAATATTTCATGTTTAATATTCTGCATCAATATTTGTGTGTTCTTATGGCAAATCAGCTAATTGATTTGTTTGTTGTTGCTTAGTTTCTGATGTTTTCCAGTAATTTCATCAATTTTAATCACATTTTTGTTGTAAGCCAAACAGTGGTTCAGAGTGGGGTAGTGATATGGTTGACGTTTTAAGCACTTCTTGATTATTCTTGATGTTGTGTGCTTTGATGATTTGCAGTTGCAGTTATTTTTAGCCACTTTGTACTGGGATATTCAGGCCCAGATTAAATGATGTGGAATGTGAGGCTTTAACTGTGCTTTATTGCTTAATTATTCTAATGTACATTTACAAAATGTAATTCAAGGGTGTCTTGGAAAAGCATTAGAATGTCTTTGCAGAGTAGGCTTAAAGTCATGAAATAAAATCTAAATAGTTTGATGAAATCTGTGTTGATTATTGATGCTGTACAATAATCTCAATCAAGTTTTTGGACATAATAGTATTTAATTCACACCTGCCTCAGTGAGAAAATCACAGGTTTGAAAAGCTGTGATAAACATGCTTTTTGAGATTTTGTTACTGCACTGACCTCTAAACGGCGCACTAATGTTCGCATCGTGCTTCCTACTAGTCCTTGTTGGAATCTTGAGTTTGATTCATGTTAGCGAATCGGTTCGTTCACATGGTTCGTGTCAATGATCCTGTTTTTTAAACCGACTCACTTTTTAGGATTTAACTTTTAACTCTATTAATTAGTTTATTTTGAAATCACTGTTCTGTATTAGGCTATTAAAATTGCATTAAATGTTGTTTTTATTGCTCAAACATTGTTCACACTGGAAATTAATGACTGAGCAGTTCTGTAATGTTTCCAGTATTAAGAAAAATGTCAATAATTTCCAATATTGTTACAGGTTTTATTCCTAAACACAGCTGAGTGATCCGCGCTTTGCGAATCGGTTCGACCGAACATTGAAAAGATTCAGTTCAAAAGAATGATTCTTTTGAGAATCGGAGACCATCGACTGTTGAGTTTCCCAGCTGACAGGTTAAGCACGCGGTGAAAGATCTCAGAGACTTGACAATGGATATCGACGAAGATATAGGTATGTAGATACATTTAAACGAGTGGTTGTTAATGAGTGTTTAGCATTTAGCAACGTTTTGAATCTTTAATGAGTTTTGAACTTTTAGCGCGTTTGCCAATGACAACGAATTATTCTCGAGCATTTTACATCGTTTCTTTACGGATCAGTGAATGCATGTTAACTTCATATAGGTGATTCTTCAACACCAGAGGCTCCAGCCACTAAAATGTCCAGACAACAGATATTAACACTTATTGCAATGGCCTCCATAAACTTCAGTTCAATGATCTGTTACTCCATTCTGGGACCATTTTTCCCAAATGAGGTACAAAGATGATATTTTATATAATATGATTTGTATGATCAACAATATGGAATAGAATTTGTTCTAAGTACTGTGCTTAGGGCATGTAAAGTTTCTTAAACCATGCTACAGTAGGATAAGAATTAATTTCAATCTGACTCATTCTCTCTAGGCAAAGAAGAAAGGTGTCAGTCAAGCTATGATTGGTTTAATATTCGGAATCTATGCATTATGCACTTTGGTGGGCTCATTGATACTTGGTAAATATGTAAGTGAATCATTATTTCAGAAGATACACAACAGCTTTCAACAGTTTTCCATTATGGATTGCACACACTATATCAGTGCATTTGACCTCTGTTTCAGATTGTCCAGATAGGAGCCAAGTTTATGATTGTGGCAGGGTTGTTCGTATCGAGCGGATGCACTGTACTCTTCGGGTCAGTGAATCTGTGATGTTTTATTGTGTTTTAAGTGTAGTATTTTGTGTCTTTTAGTCTGTCTATTAACTTTCAGGTTATTTGCATGCTGGATTATGCCTAAATGTTGATCAAATGACTTTACTCTTATGGAAAATCGGATGAAAAATGCTGGTGACTCATGTAACACTCATGGGTGAGAATTTGTACTATTTCATCATTAATGATATTGTTTCTTCTGCAGATTTCTTGACCAAGTGTCTGATGGGACAGTTTTCATCGTGCTCTGTTTTATCACACGGTGCATAAATGCAATTGGCTTTTCCGCCGCCGTTACATCATCTTTTGCAGTTTCAGGAAAAGTTTTCCCCGACAACATAGCGACTGTTTTGGTGAGTTGTAGTCAGTGCTTGTTTTTCAGTGCAGTAATGGTGTTTTGGAGTAAAGTGACAAAGGAAGCACTATTGCACGTCACAAAAGATGTGCTGTTTCTCAAGAGAATTATCTTTAAATTCAGTTATTCAGTCTGTCTGGTTGTTTGGGTTCTCACGGTCGGGGCATATACACAGAACCGTTCTTATGTTTTTAATATTTACACAAGTGTGCTATAATGTTAAATGTGTCTCAATAGTGATATCTCATTCTCTCAGGGCTTCATGGAGATTTTTACAGGTCTTGGCCTGATATTGGGGCCTCCGTTGGGCGGCTGGCTCTATCAGTCATTTGGATATGAAATCCCATTCGTTTTCACAGGATGTCTTCTGTTTGCGACAGTGCCTCTTAATTTGTGGATTTTACCAAGCTTTGGTTAGTGCGGACTTCATGCTGGTTAAATATTACATGTCTTTATTAATTTAATTTAAGCTTATTCCATTTGGCATACTCCTAGTTAAGTCATGTCACAAGGATTTGATTGCCCTGTGTCTGCTTTTGTTATTGTTTGCCCTCCAGCCATGGAGATAGACATGTGTGTTTATTTCATTCCAATATAGATGCTGTTCCTTCTTCCCAGAATTCCTTCCTCAGATTGTGTACCAGAATAAAGATCCTTCTCATCTGCTTCGTGGTGTTCACGTTGAGTTCAGGACTTGGCTTCCTGGATGCAACACTGTCCATATTTGCCATAGAAAAGGTTATGAAGATTTAGAAACTACACTGAAACATGTATATATATATATGTAAAAATATATAACATATATATAAAATATTTTGTGCTTAAACATATAGACTACGTGTAAACTCACCAAAGTTTCAAATCAGGGAAAATGTTCTAAACTCTTCATTCCAAAATACTGCTGTAAATGTTAATGTAAAGGTTCTCATTCTATATAATAATATAAAACATCTCTGTATGTATTTTTTGTGAACAGCTTAATCTCAGTGCTGGTTCGGTGGGGCTGCTCATGATTGGACTTTCACTGCCATATGGGGCGGCATCACCCATCTTTGGTGTGATCAGTGATAAATATCCTGTAAGTCAATATTTAAACAGTTATCAACATTTTTACAGTGACAATTGAAAATTCTGATAAAAAATGACATTTTTGAAATTCCTAATGACATTTGAGGCTTTATTGTTACCTATTTATGTATTTATTTATATATATTAATTAATTGTATTTATATTTTTAAGATGTTTCATTTTTAATTTAACATTTTTATGATTTTTATCATTATGTTTTTATATTATTTGATTTATATATGTATATATATATTTTTTTTTCCTTTTTTTTCTTCCATTTTTAGTTTTTGGAAATGTTTTTTTTTTTTTTTGACATAAGCATAAATAAAATTTTATTTATTAAGAAATAATTTCATCTGTGGCTGTAAAATGATTCTTGGTGCAGTCAATTAGGAAATGGATGATGGTGGTTGGAGGAATGGCCACAGCGGTGAGCTTCTGTTTCCTCGGCCCACTTCCTGTTTTCCATATTAGAAGGTGAAACATTCATTTCTAACTTTTTGAATGCCAATTCCTCAGCTTTTGCTGTTTGTTACATTAAAGCACAAATCTGTCACTAATCGGCGAAATGTTTTTGTGTGTTCAGTCAGCTCTGGCTCACCGTCCTCATGCTGATCGTGGTGGGCTTTTCTCTCTGTATGAGCTGTATCCCCACCTTTGCTGAGATGATCGCTTGTGCACAGTGAGGCAAATGCATCATCGTACAAATCCTAGTTCTCCCACTCAGCACTGAGTCACATTTTATGTTAGGCCATTTAACAGGTTACTGTGTCTGTAATTCACTCAGTTATGTCACACTAAATTCCTGAAATGGTTTGAATAAATGCAGTTAACCCTGAAACTGAGTAAAATACAACAATACAAACCTCTACAAAATATAAACATGTTTTGACGCACATGTTCCTCGTATTGCAGTGAAAATGGCTTTGAGGAGGGCATGAGTACACTGGGGTTGGTGTCAGGCTTGTTCTCTGCAGTCTGGTCTGCTGGGTGTGTATGAAAATAAAGTTTACATGCAGTATTCAAGAATATACTTTAGAATTTCCCCATCATGAAACCTGAATCATCTTTTTCATGTTGAAGGATGTTCTTTGGGCCAACTATTGGAGGATACATCACACAAGCACTCAACTTTGAATGGAGCGCAGGAGTTCAAGGCGCACTCGCCTTTCTCGCTGTAAGAAAAATAAATTTCCAAATAAAAGCGTAACAGGCCATTTTTATAATAGATATGCATTTTCTTAAAGGGGTCATATGATGTTGCTAAAAAGAACATTATTTTGTGTATTTGGTGTAATGAAATGTGTTTATGCGGTTTAAAGTTCAAAAAACACATTATTGTACACATTATACTGTACATTATTGTTTCTCCTCTATGCCCCGCCTTTCTGAAATGCGTCGATTTTTACAAAGCTCATCGGTCTGAAAAGCGAGGTGTGCTCTGATTGGCCAGCTATCCAGTGCGTTGTGATTGGCCGAATACCTCAAGCGTGTGACGGAAATGTTACGCCCCTTACCATACTGTGATGTTCTGTCCTTGTCCGAGACAAAAACATTAAAACCCATTATAAACGAGGCATTTGTTGCATCCAGTGGGGACATAAATACGGATTATAATGACTTATACTGTATTTTTACGCGTTGCATCGCGCCGCGTAAACAAAACCATGTCTGCATTTGTGATCGGAGAAACGACAAACAACAAGCACTACTCTACACTGCTCAAAACTTGCGTTTGAATCATCAGTGGCAAATCCTTTAAATATAAAAAACGTACTTACAATCTGTGAGTCAGAACAGCCGGCATTGTAGTCTACCAGGATCAGGAAACAGTCCTCATCCTCCA